GCGGCTCCATTCAGCCCATTGGCGCCGCCGCCTTATAAAAAGGGGAACGGCCGTCCCGGCGGTTCACAGCAATCACACGCAGCCGGCTCATAAACCTTCCTCCTTTCCTTTCCTTCCCTACCCGCCTCCAGCCGGCATCGGAAGAAGCGGAGCGGAGGAGGATCCATCCCGGCCGAGCAGCCACAGGCCCCGCTGAGGAGAACTCGCCCGGCGGGAAACTCGCCTCACCTCAGCGCACCTCAGATCGACTCGCCGCTCCCCTCCGCCGCCACAGCCCTCACCAAACCGACGAACCGCAGCGGCATGGCTTCCCTCAGCTTCGCCGTAGCCCTTCTCCTCGCTCTCCTCAGCCCGGTAAGAGCCGCCACCGTCCGTCCGTCCCTCCGCCCGCCCCGCCGCCATCCCTACCCCTTCGGCTGGTGCGGTGCCGGCGGCCGTCCTGACGTTCCCCCTTTCTCTCTTCCCTCCCTCTCTCCTCTCTCCCCGCCGCCGCCGGGCAGGAGGTGCAGGGCCAGGAGTGCAGCGGGCAGTGTCAGTGCGGAGCGGGGCCCGGCCCCAGCTGCCCCGCCGGCGTCTCCTTAGTGCTGGACGGCTGCGGCTGCTGCCGGGTCTGCGCCAAGCAGCTGGGCGAGCTCTGCACCGAGCGGGACCCTTGCGACCACCACAAGGGCCTCTTCTGCGACTTCGGCTCCCCCGCCAACCGCCGCATCGGCGTCTGCACCGGTGAGTTTGGGGCGCCCGCCATCCCGGGGTTGGGGGACGGAGGATGGAGGGGGGGGTCCCCGCCGGGCTGGGGATGGGGGGGAAGCCGGGGTTGGGGGTCCGGCATCGCCTCACAGCCTCCTTCTTCCCCGCCACCTCGCAGCTCGGGACGGCGCCCCGTGTGTCTTCGGCGGCATGGTGTACCGGAGCGGGGAGTCCTTCCAGAGCAGCTGCAAGTACCAGTGCACCTGCCTGGACGGGGCGGTGGGCTGCGTGCCCCTCTGCAGCATGGACGTCCGCCTGCCCAGCCCCGACTGCCCCTACCCACGCCGGGTCAAGCTGCCCGGCAAGTGCTGCGAGGAGTGGGTGTGCGACGAGGCCAAGGAGCAGACGGCCGTGGGACCTGCTCTGGCTGGTGAGTGGTGGGGGGGGTCCCCTCTTAGAACCATAGGATTTCCCGGGTGGGAAGGGGCTTTAAAGATCATCCAGTCCAACTGTCAGCCCAACACTGACAAAACCCATCCCTGAGCCATGTCCCTCAGCACCACGTCTGCCCATCTTCTGAATACCTCCAGGGATGGTGCCTCAACCACTGCCCTGGGCAGACCATTCCAATGGTTAATAACCTTTTCAGTGCCAAAATTTTTCCTAATATCCAACCTGAACCTCCCCTGGCTCAACTCGTGGCCATTTACCTCATGTCCCATTGCCTCCTTGGGAGAAGCTCCCCCCGCAGCTACACCCTCCTTTCAGGTAGTTGTAAATAGCCAGAAGGTCTCTCCTCAGCCTCCTCCAGGCTGAACGCCCCCAGCTCCCTCAGCCACTCCTCATAAGATCCCATTCTCCAGACCCCTCACCAGCTCCGTTGCCCTTCTCTGGACTCGCTCCAGCCCCTCAATGTCTATTTTTTTGTAGTGAAAGGCCCAAGAATGGGATGTGGATGACAGGTCTCTCCTGCATGGAGGTTGAAGGCAGTGGGAGGCGTTGACACAGGGCACCACAGAAGCTGGACCAGAGCAGTTCATGGGGTTTCCCCACAGATGGGGCTGTCTGAATTTCTAAGGAAAGGGAAGAGAGCCTCTAGCAGAGTGTGACAGGATGAGGACAGTGACCAGGATCGGACAGTGGTCTCATCCTGGTTGGTTGTCTGTCCCCTGCAGCTTACAGACTGGAAGATACTTACGGTCCAGACCCAACCATGATGCGTGCCAACTGCCTGGTGCAGACCACCGAATGGAGCGCTTGCTCCAAGACCTGCGGCATGGGCATCTCCACCAGGGTCACCAATGATAATGCCTTCTGCAGACTGGAGAAGCAGAGTAGACTCTGCATGGTCCGACCTTGCGAAGCAGACCTGGAGGAGAACATCAAGGTAAATAGTCTTATATTTATGTATGATCTACTCGGATGCTTCCATCTCCTAGCAAAAAACCCAGTGTCTTAACCAAAAAATGTGCAGTTTTGACAGCCAGTTGCTTTCGGGTGGATTACCTTGAGGTTTGAGTGCCCCGGTGGTGAATAGTTTACAATTAAATGCCCTTAATTTTCTGTCACACCATGTTATGGCACTATGTAAGATCCTTAATGAAGATGCAATAAGGATTAGCCTGTCTGCTTGCCCTGAGCTTAGTGCTGGGTGACAGCCTGCCCTCTAAAGGTGTTCTGTTGTCCTTGTGTCCTAACAGAAAGGCAAAAAGTGCATCCGCACCCCCAAAATCTCCAAGCCTGTCAAGTTTGAGCTGTCTGGCTGCACCAGCGTGAAGACCTACAGGGCCAAGTTCTGCGGCGTCTGCACCGACGGGCGCTGCTGCACCCCCCACAGAACGGCCACCCTCCCCGTGGAGTTCAAGTGCCCCGACGGGGAGATCATGAAGAGGAAAATGATGTTCATCAAGACCTGCGCCTGCCACTACAACTGCCCCGGGGACAACGACATCTTCGAGTCTCTGTACTACAGAAAGATGTACGGAGACATGGCGTAAAAGCCCGGGAGGAGAACGCTTAACTAGATTCTCAACTTGAACTGATTTGCATCTCATTTTGTAAACATGATTCAATAGCACAAGGTATTTAAATCAGTTTTGTTATTTTTTATTTTTATTTTTTTGTGTTTTTTTTTTTTTACGATTTCAACAAACTGCTCCATGTGACTTTAAGACAAAATTTTTCTACTGACCCCCAAACGGTGGTTTGAAGAAGAAGGTAAAACGGACAGTGGGACCACAGCGAGACGCAGCTTCAGAACGAGGTGGTGTTGAAGGGCTTAAGGGAATTAAGGCAGGAAAAGCAGATCTGAGCAAAAAAAAAAAAAAGAAATTCCCTTAACGCGGTACAGCGTGCTTCGTCGAGTAGTGCAATTGTGGAGGAGACCCGTTGGCGTCTTTGCTGGTGCTGGTTTGGTGGCACCAGCCAACCCTCGCCCAGCAAAGTGCTGAGGAGAAGGTGTCCTGTCAGTCAGGACAGTGACATTTCAGCTCTTGACGCTCTGATTCCTGTGGCTCGGTCAGCAAGAATCAGAATCATGTCTCTCAGACTGGACAGCTCGTGGCGGTTAATTTACCTGCAGTGAGCTACTTTTTATTAATAATTGTAAATACCGTGTGTGTATATATATTTTGTACAGTTATCTAAATTAATTTAAAGTTTTGTGCCTTTTGTTTAATGCTTTGAAATTTCAATGGTAGCCTTTTTTTTTTTTTTTTTTTTGAAAGAAATTCCCTTAACGCGGTACAGCGTGCTTCGTCGAGTAGTGCAATTGTGGAGGAGACCCGTTGGCGTCTTTGCTGGTGCTGGTTTGGTGGCACCAGCCAACCCTCGCCCAGCAAAGTGCTGAGGAGAAGGTGTCCTGTCAGTCAGGACAGTGACATTTCAGCTCTTGACGCTCTGATTCCTGTGGCTCGGTCAGCAAGAATCAGAATCATGTCTCTCAGACTGGACAGCTCGTGGCGGTTAATTTACCTGCAGTGAGCTACTTTTTATTAATAATTGTAAATACCGTGTGTGTATATATATTTTGTACAGTTATCTAAATTAATTTAAAGTTTTGTGCCTTTTGTTTAATGCTTTTTTTTTTTTTTTTGGAACAAGATAGGTAGGATCTAAAGCTTGTCTGACAATGCATTCAAAGTGTGAAATAGATACTCAGGTGGAAATTGCTTGGTTTGGGCCAAGTGGAGCTTTGAGATCACCATGGAGAGGGTTAGAGTTGCGGTGCCTGTATCCTTACAAAGCAGTTACCTGGTAAAAACATGTCTCTTTTCACTTTATTGGGCAAGTGGGCTTTGAGAAAGATGGCTCTTCTGTAGCTCCTCAGCCTTTCCACTCGAGCATTTGTTTCTTTCTTTGACTATGGCTCTTTTTGGACAGTTTTATTTGTTGAGAAGTGTGACCAAAAGTTACATGTTTGCACCTTTTTAGTTGAAAATAAAGTATTTATATTTTTTATATAAATGGCTTGGTATTTCATTTATCTTTTGAATTGTCACTTTACGTATTCCTACGGCTTTGCACTAGGTGAAAATAGAGTGATGGGGTGGGTTTTTTTTTTTTGGTCCAGAAGCACATACACTCCGGAATAAGCTAATGATTTATGGTTATTTATTCTGTTACTAGTGAACCAATGGAAGCTTGTTTCTCTTGTGAATTTAGGGCCAGGCTTGCTGTGCCAAGCCCGGTGTGGTGGTGGAAAACACAACAGGTTCCTCATGCACCACATATGGTGACTTTAAAAAGAGCTGGCTGGGCAGCGTAGCCTTCAACTCCTGGTAAAATACCCCATGTGACATCCTTCATGGCATTGAGATGTTCCACTGGTTAACAATTGTTCTCAGCTAAGCCAAGGAAAAAGGGTTGGTTTGGGGTGTTTTTTTGAAGTATCTACATTAAAATGGTTCCTGGCTCTTGGAGTCGAAGCCAAAGAAGCCCCAAAGTTAGTCAAATTCTTGGTGAAGAGCTAATGAGTTGGAGTATAACAATCACAGAATAATACAGGTTGGAAGGGGCCTCTTAAGATCTTCTGGTGTAACCCTCGTGCGGAGTAGGGCTAATTTTGATGTGGTTTTACTTGAATTAAGACTTTATTACTGTCTCGTAGGCGGAGCACTGAGCTCAGGTGGCAAATACCTGGGTTATCTCCCTGGTTGATGACTGGGACCAAATCATTTTAACATAAATTCTGGCTGGAAAGTGTCTGTTGATGCAAATTCTTATGGGCCCAAAGAAGCACTGTAAGAGCTACACATTTTGGTAATGCTCCAAATCTGGGTCTTCTCAGATAAGCAAAAAAAGAGCATGGGGACAGTTTTTAAGTCCCTTCCCTCATCCCCCTAAAGCTGAAAGGAAAGGTTCAGTCCTGCGCTGGGTCCTATGTTAATAAGAAGACTTTTCTCTTTTGTCCCTTTCTGTAGATACATTAATAACAAGACTTTTCTCTTTTGTCCCTTTCTGTAGATGAAGGGATTCTCTGAATTTAAAATTAACCTTTGCACTAGAAGCATTAGTTCTTGTTTTCAAAAAAAAAACAAAACACCAAAAACAACCAATAACTCAACCCTACGTACTCTCCAACAAGAATCCTTTTCAGGCAAACGAGTTCAAGCTGGAATTTCCTGGTGGCGAAAAGAGTGTTAGCTCAGAAAAATGTCCATCCTTCCTGAGCACCTTCCAATCCCACCGGTCTCAGCTGGCATTAGCGGCAAATCGCCGTTAACACCAGCTTTTGACTAATGATGGGCCACAGAGCCCTAAACCCGTGGGGAAGTCACCGGGAGCCTGGCCAGTGCCTTCGCACGAGGCCAGAGAAGCATTTCCCCTTCCTCAAAAAAAAAAAATACCAGGAATTCTCCTGGCATGAGGAAGTGGTGTTTTTTTTTTTTGTGTCCCGTATGAAATAGTTTTGGGCAGCCTCTGGCTCTTAACGCTCCCTCAGACTCTCCAGCATTTTTTCTCTCTGTTTTTTCAGGTTCTGAATGCGATGCAGCCCTTCGGTTCCTCCTGGAAACACTTCAAAGGCTCATACAACCACAAAGGCTGGTTGTCCAACCGCTGCCCTGGCTCCACCCCCAAATAACAAGAGAACTGTCATTTCTAGTTCCAGCAAGGACAGGATGGGACGTCCACAGACTTCATTCATAGAGATCACCGTAGAAGCTCCTGGGATCAGAAGGAAGAAGCTCAATATACCCAGCAGGTTGGGATTAGTGATTAGCACCTGTAAGAGATGGGGTGTTTATGGTGCTGCTCAAGCCTGTTCAGAGGTACAAAGATGATGAGGGGACTAGAACATGCCTCTCATGAGGAAAGGCTGTGAGGGTAGTGGAGCACTGGAACAGGTTGCCCAGGGAGGTGGTTGAGGCCCCTTCCCTGGAGATATTCAAGGAGAGGCTCGACGAGGCCCTGGGCAACCTGGTCTAATTGGGGGTGTCCCTGCTGACTGCGGGGAGGTCGGACTAGATGACCTTTGGAGGTCCCTTCCTGCCTGGGCAACTCTATGACTCTATAAGGCTGAGGGGCTTGGGTCCTTTTAGTCTAGAGAGTAGAAGGTTGAGGAGGGATCTGATCAACGCCTATAAATACTGAAAGGGTGGGTGTCAGGAGGATGGGGCCAGACTTTTTTCAGTGGTGCCCAGGGACAGGACAAGAGGGAACAGGCACAGATTGCAACATAGAAAGTTCCATCTAAACATGAGGAGGAACTTCTTTCCTGTGAGGGTGGAAGAAGCTGCCCAGAGAGGTGGTGGAGTCTCCATCTCTGGAGATGTTCAGAACCCACCAGGATGCGTTCCTGTGCAACCTGATCTGTGTGGACCTGCTCTGGCAGGGAGGTTGGACTAGATGATCTCCAGAGGTCCCTTCCAACCCCATATCATTCTGTGATTTAACAACCCTGCCCTGTGTTCTTTTACAAATTGCTATCAGACATTACAATGAATGGCCATTCCTTATAATGTTGACCTCATGAACCTCATGGATGACTCACGAGATTCACTCGGGTTGTGGTCTCAGTCCTCTGCGGTGGGGGCTGTATCCTGGGCCAGGGGCAGAAGGGGTCTAGTTTGGGAAGGGCTATCAATAATTTGGCACCCATCGATAAAGGGGCTCCCCCAAAACAGCTTGGGACCGTGACCTATCCTCTGCCTGGTGCTGCAGGCAATGGTTCAGCTGCTTTGCCTGGCATTTGACTAATCATCACACCGCTTTCCAGACCAGGAGAGAAGAGACCTCCTGTCACAACAGTTGAATGGTGGTTTGCTGTCGCCACTGTGAATTAAACTAAGGAAGTAAGCTACATCTGCAAAGCTGTTTAGCAAGCTGTTGCTCTCCCTTGAGTGTATCAAGGATCATAAATCTCAGCTACCTCTGCATTATAATGATTTGCACTCCTTTTTTTTCCAGGAACACGTGTAGTCTTCTGCTTTAGCAAGCTGTTGCTCTCCCTTGAGCGTATCAAGGATCATAAATCTCAGCTACCACTGCATTATAATGATTTGCACACCTTTTTTTTTCCAGGAACACGTGTAGTCTTCTGACAGAAGCATCTTACACCATTTCACACGTGTTAGACCTCTGAAGGTTTTATCTCTGAAGGTAAAGAAGTTTAAATATTTTGTTGTGAGGTCTCCTAGAGGTGCAGGTAGACCCCATACTGTTTGTAAGATGTTCTTTCAAAGGTATCACAGGATGCTGTGGGGTTGGAAGGGACCTCTGGAGATCATCCAGTCCAACCCCCTGCCAGAGCAGGTCCACCCAGAGCAGGTTGCACAGGATGGTGTCCAGGCAGGGTCTGAATGTCTCCAGAGATGGAGACTCCGCCGCCTCAATCCTGGGAAAAAAAGGAGCCCTTGTGTGGAATTCATGGGATCTTAAATGATAGTTAAGACCTGGACCTTTCAACCATAAATATATTTCCTGATTTCATTGTTTGGGCCTAAGATGCATAGGTGCAAGAATAAAAACTCGAGATCAAAAGTCCAAAGTTACTTACTGAGAGGAGCTGGTTCACATTCCTTCCAAAATACCTCAGTTTGGAAGTTTGCTTTGGGATGTTTGCATCCTCAGAAAACTCTATTTTTGTGCAGGTTTGCTATGGTAGTTTTAAAATATTTTATTCATGTATGAAATTATATTCATTCAAATGACTAGCTCCTTAAACCGGATCTCCAGCGATACTAGTAATACAGTTGGTCCACTGTAAAGTCACTACTCGTTTAATAAATGATAGCCAATTAATCATTAAGCAGGCATTCGAGGTGGCTGGAGACCGGAGTAGCAAATAATTTGTGAACTCAGCCATCATATTTCAGATTTTTGTACCGTAACACTCGTGTATGGGTTTGCAGCTCAGCTTTCTAACACGATGCAGATGGGAACGACAGACGCGATTATAGCCCTTTTCAGATGAAATCGGCTCTGACTCTCCAGATGGAAATTTGTCAGATTCCTCAGAGCTCAGAAACATCCAAAAGACAGCAGCAGTTAAGAAACTCTTCAAGAATGAGCCGCTTTTAATGATCCGTAACCACACAGGAACAAATAAGTCTTTGAATGGGATCCAGTTGTTTGTCTCGCAAAGACGGGGGCTCAGCTGAGAAAACTGACTTTTGGACTAGAAATAGCACGCTCTAACTAGATGATTTGTGGGTGGTTTTTGGTTGTTTTTTTTTTTTTTTTTTTTCACGTAGCACAGCTTTTTCAGA